GTTGCAAAGCCGCTAATTTCAACCCGATGTTTTCCAATTTGCAGTCTAGGACATTAGTCTGAGCATTTGCGACCCTACCCATATGCGGCCAGCCTGGTGGGGTTTTGAGCAGCACTGACCGCTTTCATCAATCGACGATACCCCAGGGCCCCGCATAAGCCCATCAGCAGAAACCCTGTTATCAAAGTTCCGAATAGGTAAATATCTTCAATATTCTCCAGAGACAAAGCAGCCAGGCACACGACGCTCAACTTCTTCCACCCGTCCATCATGTATTCAGCTGCAAATGTCCCTGCAGGACAAGTGGGCTCTCCCGAACCCAAACTCCTCGTTGAGAAGATGGTGTCAATTGCATTCATAGACCACTTGATCAAATCCATAATTCCTTATTCGTTTGGATAGCAGGGCACAAAGAGAGTCTCAGAGATACAATAAGACGAAGACAAGAGGAGCTAGCATGGCGAGATATGGGAAGGACACGGAAAAAGTGCGACCGCCTTCGCCGAGAGCCAAAGAAGAAGCTTTATTATATGTTCTCCCCATGTTCACAATGGTTTCCTCCGGGTTTTCCAGTTTCCCCCACAGTCCAAAGACATGCACCTTAGGTTAATTGGATAAACTAAATTGGCCATAGTGTATAAGTGTGTGAGTGAATGAGTGTGTATGGGTGTTTCAGAGGACTGGGTTGCGGCTAGAATAGCATTCTCTGCGTAAAACCTACGCTGGAATAGTTGGCGGTTCATTCCACTGTGGCAATCCCTGATAAACAAGGCACTAAGCCAAAGAAAATGAATGATTCACTGTATGTTATAGTAAGAGGGACCCAAATCGAAATTCAACAACAAAAACAAACACATTTTGAAAAAGAGTAATTCCTATTTCTAACACAAATTTTGTTATTAAATCAAAAACTGAGTTGACTAATGAACATAGCAAATATCATAACTTTATCCTTGTTTTATAAAAGTAGATTCATTCCCATTTACACGAATGTCTTGTGGTAGATATCAAGAAAATGTCATACCATTGTGTTCCTCATTCCTCTGGTGACAGTGATGGGTTGAACTCTCCAAGAACTACAATACACATTTGACTGCAAGCTCAAAAAGCTTTTTGCCTGTAGACAAGATTCATCGAAGATCTTCCTGTGATCAATGGCGTATGACACAAAATGAATCACGACACAGAAATGCAATTAAATGAGCTCCCATAAACCTGCGAGAGAACATTCAAATGTTACTTAACTGAATCAATATGCATCAAATCTTCTCAGTGATTAACAGGATTTTCAACTTTTGTTGACCGTCTTTCTGCCTGGATTTACTGCCTCTGGTTTATTCCATGTTTGAGAAATCAGTCCAGTTTTTCAACTGAGAGAAAATGACTCTAATGGTACAACGCTATGCAAACATTCAACTAAAAATAAGTCTGGCATGACACTCTCTGAAATTCCTACCTCAGTTTGGCCAATTTCCTCTGAGGCTTTCTTCGGTTCCATCTGGCGATCTCTCCAGAGCCTCAGTCTGCTTGTTTCAAACATCACATCACCAAACGATGCCATATTGTGGTTGTTGTGTGTGCATTTTTCAAATAAACAATCAGGTTAATCAAAATACAATTGTATGGGTTTGTAAGTTGGTGTGTAAAGATGTAAGCGCATTAGTCAAATTTACTTTATAATCAAAATGAGCAGATTTCTGTGCTCAGTGGGCCTGTTGAGTTAACTGAATCACCTGAACAATAAAAACAAAACAACCTTAAAGTGCTAGTTCAACAAAAATGTAAATTACGTTATTATTTTTCCAAAGCCATGAGACCTTTATATCACAAATGAAGATATTTTAGGTGAAATATGAGAGCTCCCTCATCCTCCAATCCCATGGAGTAAGATTCCAGCCTTTTTAAGTAAGTGCAGAAAGATACAAAAAAAAAAAAAAAAAACATTAGTTAAACAGACCACATACCTTCAGTGGTTCAATCTGAATACTATCAAGCAACAAAAATACTTTTGTATCAACAAAAAACAAAAATAACAACTTTATTACACAGTTTCTTTGCATCAGTGTCAGTTTGTTATGCACATTATACACTACCTGACAAAAGTCTTCTCGTTGATCCTAAGTTGTAAGAGCAACAAATAATAACTTGACTTCTAGTTGATCATTTGGAAAAGTGGCAGAAGGTAGTTTTTTCTGCATCCAAATCATCAAAAACACTGCAGAATAGACATCTGCGCGGGACAAAATTTTGAAGGTTTACTGCCAGGTTTAGGTCTGAACCAGACCAATTCCGCTTACATTCAGCATTTGTTGTCCCACTGCCCAACCCGCCCCGTTTTTTACCTGCGGCGCCCAATCCCGCTAACAGGCCAGGGGAGAGCAAAACCAAAAACCACCCAGCTGTAGTCTAGCTAGAGTCCAGACAGCCTATAACAAGCTGTCTGTATAAATACACACACACATACATGCACACACACACACACACACACACACACACACACACACACACACACACACACACACACACACACACACACACACACACACAAGCACCAAGCAAGTGACACACAGACAGCATTACGCTCTCTCTCATTTACACACACACACACACACACACACAAAACAACAGCAACAAACAAGCTAAACACAGCATTCATTCAAACACATACATAAGCATGCTCGCTCGCTCGGGAGTCAGGAGCGATATAGTTAGACCGCCCGCTCCCGTCCAAAATTACACCAGTTACCGGCCGCTCCCTCGCTTTATTCTGAAGTTTATTGCTAATGCGGACCTCTACTGCAGAAGACCTATTGGAACCGGCATGAATATTATTGAGCATGTCTGGGGTAAGATGAAGGAGCAGGCATTGAATGCTTTTATCAATAAATTATTTGAGATCCATGGATGCAGTCGTCCAAGCTCATAGGAGATTTTTCCATCCTTATATTAGCAAAAGTGGATTCTGACATGCCCTGAATGCGTTTGCGCCCTGGGCTTTTCACATGGATCGTCAAAATAGAGCCCCTTATGTTGCAGAGGTAATAATCATATACATTTAAAATGATTGTTTTTAAAAATGTTATGAATCATTAGAATATTTATAAAGACCATGTTCTATCAAGATATTTTGTAAATGTCCTACTGTTATATGAAATAGAACGCATAGAGTAATATGCTTTGCTAAAAGCTAAATTTGCACAACTTTAACCGTTTTTTTTTCGATATTTAAATTTTTATGCACCCGTCGATTCCATATTTTCAAATAGTTGTTACTCAGCCAAATATTGTCATACATACATCAATCGAGGCTATATTCATTCTGTTTACATTCTATGTAAAAATCTCAACAATATTAAAAATGACTTATGGCTTGATTTGAAAAAATGAGAGTCTTAGTGTGAAAGCACTCTTAATTTGTAAAAGAAACAAACATAACATTATGACAACTTATTTAGGAGCGCTCATCAAAAATTAAGGAACATCACAAAACCAATTTTCTGTAAAGCAGGTTTGACTTAAATTGTCCTACTCAGTAATGTTGTTTTTTGTGAGCTTTAAACTTCACAATAAATCCTTAATAAATGCAAATAAAACCAGAAATCATGATGGAGATACTTTTGATTATTTGCTTTACTTAAAAAGTAAAGTGAATAAACCCAACTTTAAAAGTGAAACGCTGACTTCGTGAAGTTTATTTATAAACTAATTCACATGTTTATGATTGACCAGGGCTGGTCCCACATTAGCTAAAACACGATTCACCGATCAGACGATTCCTAACTCACTTTAAAAAAACAGAATTTAATATCTCAGTTGTCTTTGTCTTGAGGAATCACCCTTTTCTTGAAAGGGAACATCACAGGAAGATTGTCACTGGTCCAAGTCTCTAACAGGCCAGTCGATGTTTCTGTGCAGAGTTTGCTTGTTCTCCCCGGTTTTCTTCCACAGTCCGAAAACATGAGACATAGACATTGACCAAACCAAATTGGCACCACAGACGAGCTCTTAATCATCAGCAGTATATCCTTCCATAGCATCTCCTAATTTGTCATTAGTCATAATAAGCAGGAGACCTACCTGAGCTCAAACTCCCCTGCAAATGGAAGGGATCCCCAGGCTCGAGGATCTTATGAGCTCAGAGCTCTCTCTGGCAACATCCCAAACACGCTTTATAATCAACCTAAGCTAAGTATATAATCAAGCTAAGTGTGAACTCTGGAACTTTCTGGTCCAGCTTAGACTGTTCCAATATGGCAAGCATAATACAGTACATACACTGTAAAACGTGATTATTTACTTTATCAAAAAAAAAAAAAGATAATGAATCCATTGCTTTAAAAATGACACGATGAGTTTATATAAAAATTAATCCATTACCTTAAAAATTACAAGTTGACTTTACTTAAAAAAAAAGGAGTGAACCCACTGTAACTAGGAACAGTTAAGTTAAATTAACTTAATTTTTATAATCATGCACATATTTAATTTACTTACGAATTGTAAGGCAATGGGTTTAATCACTTATTTTAATTAAAGTCAACTAATTATTTTTCTACAATGAGAAAAGGTTCGGCGATATGGGTTGCATATAGGGAGGATCGGCTCTTTAATGTTTATTGCCACCCTTCAGAGAATGACTAAAAACATGGGATGAATACAGGAAAATACCTTTAAGGGATGGTAACGGGATAGAACTGTAAAATACAAGAGAATTCCAGGAAAAATGGAAAGGTTGACAGGTATGCAAAAAGATAGTAAAAGTGAATTGATAGACATGCCTGTTTGTTACAGAGGAATTGAAGAAAAAATGTATAGGCTACTACCCTTGATTGAAAGAAAAACTACAAGAAAGTGATCCGTAATAGATATTGCTAGTAAAAACTAGCCAGCTAATATTGATGCCAGCTAATATAGCCGTCAATACAGAGCAAAATATAGGCCTAACACCTCTTTTTGGCTCAAATGATCCAACAAACAGTATAATTAAAAGCAAACGGATATATTTTTGTTAACTCGTGTTTATTGTTTTGCAAGCAACAACAAAAATATGGCCTGAATAGTAAACTATGTATTGCTGAAATATGAATGTTGGATTTTTTTAGATCATGTGATTAACTTACTCACTTACAGTGTATTTACTAAGCTACATGGTTGCGGCAAATTGATTGCTGAAGAATGGCTCATGATTCCTCTGGTGGTTCCTTTTAAAAGAATGTCCTGTAATAGAAGAGACACATAAACATCAAATTAATTTAACTGATTTTAAAGACAGGGTAAATACAATGTTAACAATTTCCTGTGGTATCTACAGAAACTAAATAACAGCAGTTCGGCAGTAACTTACTGTAAATTAATTACAGCAAAAATACTGTATTTACATTTACAGTAGCATTTACCTTGCTGTGTGTGTATTTACAATATTGTGTATCTTTACTGTAAAACATACAGCAATTCTACCTGTTCTACAGTAAAATACAGTTCATATTACAGCTAAATACTGTATCATTTACAAAAATTGTTAACAGTGTCCAGTATATCTCACATCCACACAATGGGTTAGGGGGAAAGAAAAACACTCATCATTATTTACTTAAACACGTTATTTAAAGATTTTGGAACTCAAATTAAGATATTTCCAATCAAATGTGAGAAATTTCTGTCACACCTTCTTTCTACACTAGAACACCCATGAGTCCACAAAGTGGTGCAAATGGATTTGCTATTGAACAACATGGCACAACGCTAGAAAATTAGGGTTGTGTTGGACTGAAATAGCAACAAATTACGTCAAACATCTCTTTCGCCTTATTGTGTCGGGTGTATAATAAGGACCGGAGGTACAGGAATCTTAAATTTGATTCAAAATATCATCAGTTGTGATAAAAGCCTCATGGTTTTGCAACGATGTGAGGGTGAGTAAATCATGACAGAACAATCAATTTTTGGTTGTTGTATTTAAAACCTAAACTCTTGCATACGAAGGTACAAAATCTGTCACTGAGGCAGTCCCTATTCAAATGGGGCATTTGTGTTCCAAACAGGTCCTTAAAGGCAAGGGCGTAGGTTTGCACTTGATATTGGTAGGGACGAGTGAATCAAACAATTCACTGATAATTCACTGACAATTAACTGATAAAGAGAGAGTTTAAAAAAAGACTTCCGTTTATTTTAGCCATAGTGCACAGGCTCCATCTTTTCTGACAAAATTGTTTTTATATGTGTTTGTGGGTCCGTGCGACTTGAGGAGAGACGAGATTTAACTCTTTCTGCATGTCTAAAATAATATTGACAGATTTTTAAAAGTAAATTAATTTATTGCTGGGGACATTTCAACAGTTGGTAGATACTGGTGGGGATGCGTCCCCTCTGTCCATCCTAAATCTACACCCCTGCTTAAAGGTACATATCATTAAGTACAAATGTGTACCTCACAGTACCTTAAAGGTACAAAAGTAAAGCCTAAAGGTACTAATGCCCACCTGTGTGGTACAAAAATGTAACTTTTAAAAAGGTACCACCCCAGCGACAGTTTACCTTCTGAGAGTACAGAATATACAAATGACAAAAAACTAGTCACTGCATTCGTTCAAAAAATGTGAAAGAAGAACTTAAAAATAGTACAACTACTATTTCCAGCAACCAGCAGGCCATAACTAGTACTAGAGCAACACGAAATGCATTCAAGCCCAAATAATGCTTTTTGAGAATCTGCATGTATGTTTTCTATTCATTCATTCATTTTCCTTTGGCTTAGTCCCTTCATTTATCAGGGGTCGCCACAGTGGAATGAACCGTCAACTTATCTAGCATATGTTTTACACAGTAGATGCCCTTTCAGCTGCAACCCAGTACTGGGCAACAACCATACACACTCACATATATAAGTTGGCAGTTCATTCAGCTGTGGTGAACCTTGATGAATAAAGGTTTTTATTTCTATTGCATACCTTCTATTTTTCCATAATTTAGATTCGTATTGTTATTATTATTATTAATTTTGTTTGTGTTGTGACTATTCTAAACTCACAATTAAGCATTTAATTTCATTGCATTACATACTGTGTGATTGTGTATGTGACAAATAAAATTTGCTGCAGAGGGTAGCACGATCGCCTCACAGCAAGAAGGTCACTAGTTCGAGCCTCGGCTGGGTCAGTTGGGATTTCTGTGTGGAGTTTGTATGTTCTCACCGTGTTTGCGTGGGTTTCTTCCGTGTGCTCCGGTTTCCCCCACAGTCCAAAGACACACACTATAGGTGAATTGGATAAGCTAAATTGTAAAGTGTATGTGTGTGAATGAGTGCGTAGGGATGTTTCCCAGTAATGGGTAACAGCTGACAAGGCATCTGCTGCATAAAACATATGCTGGATAAGTTCATTCCGCTGTGACAACCCCAAATTAATAAAGGGACTAAGCCGAAAAGAAAATGAATGAATTAAATGAATGAGTGTGTATGGATGTTTCCCAGTGATGGGTTACAGCTGGATGGGCATCCGCTGTGTAAAACATATGCTGGATAAGATAGTGGTTTACCAAAAAGTAAATGAATGAATGAATGAAAAATGCATTGACATACTAGAACTTCTTTTTAAAACAGAAACACACTATAGTGTAAACAGCTTCATGGTTGGCAGAATTAGCCCACACACAGCAGAGCTATAGAGTGACATGCAGAAGCAACAGAACAGGTCAAAGCTGCAATAATCAATGCACGAGTCATGACATGTAACAGTCCCTTTGAACAACATCAATCAGAACGACTGCTCAGCTCGGTTAACAACATAATTGAATACTGCATTACTGCAGCGCTGAATCATTAACACACCAAATCTCCAACTAAAAACAACTGGGTGGGTTTCCAAATTGACAAAGAGATTGTCACATGTACATGATGCACGCTGGGGGGGGGGGGGGGGGGGTTTACCACCAGGCTAGTGGCTGATGAAGTTGGGGGATGGTGGGGTCTTCATCTGAAGGACGTATCCCTGTCTGTACACAGGGGCACTGCCTTGAAAAACCGTTTTCTTTGCAGTGGGTCTGACTGATGCTGCTTTAGGGCTGAAGACATACAACAGATGACAGCTTCAGCATTGAGAGCCATTTACACAACTGATTGCCTTTTTCATTGGATGTAATGGAAACATAATGCTAAATCTAGCATAATGCATAATGCTAAATCTAATTGGATTGAATTGCACTGGAGAAGTCATTGTGTGTGGTCACATATCATATTATGAGGAAGAATGCAACTATACGTACACCTCATCTTCATATTCCTTTGGTGGAGACACTGCGATGACCAGGTCAATCCAGTCCTGGATGGGAAAACGTCACATGCTTAACAAAACAATGGAAAGCTTTGTCTGAATTTTAGCTCATAATAAAAGACATGCCGTCAGTGATTTTTCCTCCTGCATATTATGACTTGCATTAATGAAATGTGTTGAATAACATTAGCATACTTAAAGGAATGCTCCACTTTCCCCCCTAGGGTTAAACAGTTGTGCTTTTCCATTTTGATTCCATTCGACCCAGAAAAAAGCAACTTTTTCATTTTCTGTTAGTTTATGATGTACTGTCACTACAGAAGAATCAAGCTTTAAATAGGAAAATTATCATAATACATACCATACATAATGCTGGATAATTATCTTTTTTTTTATTTGTTTTGTGAAATGCTAATGGTCTAAACCGAGTCAATGATGTATGCTAAGCTAAGCTAAAAGTGCTCCGGCCAGACACGAAGATCATTCATTCATTCATTTTCTTCTCGGCTTAGTCCCTTTATTAATCCGGGGTCGCCACAGCGAAATTTTTACGAAGTTTTTACGCAGCAGATGCCCTTTCAGCCGCAACCCATCTCTAGGAAACATCCACACACACTCATACACTACGGACAATTTAGCCTACCCAATTCAACTGTACCGCATGTCTTTGGACTGTGGGGGAAACCAAAGCACCCGGAGGAAACCCACGTGAAGGCAGGGAGAACATGCAAACTCCACACAGAAAAGCCAACTGAGCTGAGATTCGAACCAGCGACCTTCTTGCTGTGCGGCGATAGCACTACCTACTGCACCACTGCCTCGCTGACCTGAACATCAATTGAATGGATTCAAAAATGGTAAAACTTAACTGTTTAACTCTAGAAGAGTTTTAAAATAAGCATATTTCCAAAAAAAGTGGAGCATTCTTCAAAAAAAAAAAGAAAAAGAAAAAAAAAAGCCACGCTGTTTGACAAGTACAGGGGAACATTGTTCTTGCTACATTCTGCTTCATCCTTTCATCTATTTTTGATGATGTGTGCTAAAGAAAACATTGTGGGAGCAGAAATGTGTGCTTCCATGTGATTCCTATTTCTCATAAGAAAAAATATGACACAAAATATCAACACATTAACTTTAAAAATTCCAAAGGTCAGTACTCATCATTTATGATAGTTTAGGCTGTTGTTTTAAATAACTAATGCATAAATAATCCCACCATTTCTCTAACAAATGGGGAATAAAATCCATTTAATTCTGCAAAATGTAGTTCAATGTGATGTCAGAATTATCATAATTACAGCAATTTTGCAATTCAACCTAGTGAGTTCTGTACTGCACAGTTTTGTCATAGTACTTGATTCATTTATAGCGCAAGACTAATACGATTCATTAGCTATGAAAGCTTGTTTCTGGGTCACAAAACTAAATAACAAAAGGTAGCCCTGTTGAAATGAAAGAGCATATTCTGGTTAGATACATTTGAAAGCATGGCTTCTGGTTTAAGCCAGTTCTTAGCTGTTTATGAACTGGTTTAAGTTGATCTACTGCTGGTCTTGGTAGTTTAAGACTAGTTTAGGATTAGCTTAAACAACGTCTTTATCAGCTTAAACCTGGAATGAAATAAAAGCTTACTGTTCTTATTTTTATTTGAATATAGTGATGTTTGTTATAAACAATGTATCTGTGCACTTCATTACTTTGTAAAAATTAATTTGCCATAATCTTTTATCATATTATAAAGGTTATGGCCCTTTTGAAATGACCTTTCTTCACTTCTGGTCACATGGAATATCATTTGGGAGGGGTTATCAGTGTGAGTCTCATTTCTTCTCTGCTTTTGTCCATTCATCAATCTTCCTTAATTTTGTTGGCAACACACATTTTCCAATGATCCAATCAGTTCCCATAAGATGAAATCATACACTTCCCTTCTTTTTTTCCCTCATTTTAGGACAGTTTCAATCAGATGTATGTCACCATATGGGGAAAATGACAATCTTCTGTTTCATGGCAACTTTAAATCTGCATCATTAGGACAGTAAGGTCTGACTTTGCTTAGACAAATGTCTTGTCACTTGAAAGAAATAATGTACAGTATAGAATATAAAGTCATAGTGCAATGGAAAAAAAATAATATTGTGTATGACTCCCATGAGCTTGGAGGACTGCGACCATACATCTTTGCAATGACTCAAATAACTTAATAAAGTCATCTGGAATGGCTAAGAAAGCACTCTTGCAGGACTCCAAGAGTTCAAGATTTTTAGGATTCATCTTTAATGCCTCTTTCTTCATCTTACCCCAGACATGCTCAATAATGTTCATGTCTGGTGAATGGGCTGGTCAATCCTATTTTTTTCAGGAACCTTGATGAGGAGGCTGAAGTATGAGGAGCGCTATCCTGCTGAAGAATTTGCCCTCTCCTGTGGTTTGTAATGTAATAGGCAGCACAAATGTCTTGACACCTCAAGCTGTTGATGTTGTCATCCACTCTACAGATCTCTCGCACACCTTCATACTGAATGTAACTCCAAATCATGATTATTCCTTCACCAAACTTGAATGATTTCTCTGGGAATCTTGGGTCTATGCGGGCTCCAGTAGGTCTTCAGCAGCATTTGTGATGATTGGTATGCAGAAAAATCTACTTTCTGCCACTTTTTCAAATGATCAGCTACAATTTAAGTTATTATTTGTTGTTCTTAAAACTGGGATTGATGACAAGACTTTTGTTAGGTAGTTTATGTTTGTTTTACCTTAAAATAATGTCCCTAAAATAACACATATTGATGAATTCTGCTGCTGCAGGAACCAAATCTTCCTCCTGTCACCTGAAATCTTACATGCAGCTTTGGGTGAGTAACCTGTCACACACAGTCCTGCCTATCCCTGTCAGTAAATGCCTATGAGTAGAACAATGTGACCTGCTTTAAACGGTTAGTTCAACCCCCCCAAAAAAAATTTAAATAAATAAATAAATAAAAATCTGTTATGAATTACTCTCCCTCACATTGTTTCAAACTCCTCAAAACTTTATTCATCTTCAAAACACAAATTAAGATATTTTAGATTAAATCTAAGAGCTCTCTGACCCTCCATTGGCAGTAAGGGAGTCAAAACAATCCAGAAAGGTACTATAAACATTCCATGTGACTTCACAGATTCAACTGCTATTTTATGAACCAATGAGAACACTTTTATAAATGCTTAAATGATAATTTTGCTTATCAGCACGCTGAAGGGAAAACATAAGTGAATAAAGTTTTTATTTGCTTTTTTGGCACACAATAGTATTCTCATAGCTTCATTAGAGTAAAGTTAATCCACTGATGTCATGTTGGTTTGCTTTCTAGACTTAAACAGTCTCGTAACGCTGACAAACGCTGTGGAGTTTAGAGATTTCATTTAAAATATCTAATTTTGTGTTCTCAAGCAGGTTTTAATGTAATAATTAATGACAGAATATAAATTTTTGGGTGAACTATCCCTTTAAGACACAAGTCACGTGTTGTTTCTGTAGCTTTGGTGGAGTTAGCCAAAAGCTAACACATTAATAGCCAAAAGCCTGAGATTAAAATAATTCCAACTGGCCCTCATGTGATGATATTTGTAGAACATAGTGTTGTGTAACTGAGGCTATTTTACCTGGTAGGTGTACATGGTTTCCAAACAAGGTGTCAGCTTACGTTCTGTCAGGTTAGTCAAAAATGCATGTGAGTTGTGTTACTCATGTGTAGGCCCACACGGAATCTGCAGATTTTCTGACCATCATTAAGTCTATCTAGACAGTTGTCTGTAAATGTGAATAAATTGAAATTTATTCAGTTTTTAAATTTAATAGCATTAATATAACTAACATGAAAATATTCATATTATTAAGTTACAATACAGTTTGTAAAGTATTTTAGTAGATATATGGTAAACATATTACATGAGAGACATGTTTTGTTTACCAAATAAAAGGAACTAATTAAATTTAAATTGTAAACATTAAATAAAAGTTAAAAATGTATTATTATTTATAATTATAATAATCAACATATTAAGTTTTTAGATATGATACACCCAAAATCATTCTGCATAAATCACATAGATTTTAAAAAAATATTCTGCACAGAAATAGAAATAAAGTCCACAGATTCTGTCTGGCCCTACCCATGGAGAAGCGCAACAACAATATTACAAGAAAAAATGTTGTAGTGTTGCCTTAAACCAGTTCAAACCAGCAGCCATGCTTCAAAATAATAAAAAAAATCTAACCAGCATAAGATGTTTCTTGACATGTACACACACATTTTGTTTTTATATGTCACAATTCTGAACATAATTGTTGACAATTTAACATTAATTGAGAAGTGTGACTTTAATTCTCAAAATAGTAAGTTCATAGCCTCTCACAAATTTAAGGTGATACAATAACTTAAAGGCTTACAGTATTTCACAGAAACATTTTAATTATGTTATTAATTACTTACCCTCAAGTTATTACAATCTCACGAGACCTTTGTTTGTCTTTGGAACACAAGTATAAATATTGTTCATGAATTCTGAGAGCTCCCTCATCCTCCACAGATGGAAGCAGTCCTATACAACCCAGGCTCTTTCTGAAAACGTACCCCTGTATACATTTCTGGAGAGTGCCAAATACGTCCCAGGAACTACATTTTTTTGCAGTTTTTGTTTTCACGAATCCACCAGAGACCGCAGTGTATGCTTTTTGAGATCACAGATTTGTCTTGCGAGTGCCTCTTCTCACGTAAATCCACCAGAGGCTGATGATGATTGACTTACCAACCGAGTGATAACCCTACCCACCCTCTTCTCTAAATTCAATTGACAGTGTTTTAAATAGCACAGATTGACCAGCCTCCCTAACCCCAACCAACAATTTTTTGAAAAGCAATCTAGAAAAAGAAAAATCCCCCTGATTTTTACCACGTTTTTTAGATTATACCACATTTCCACCCTGTTATTTACTTGTTTATTTTATTTTTTGGCTTTTGTTTTCGTCTTATCTGCTGTTGGAACCATTCTTCCCTGGACTCGAACACCATTATTGCGGTCAACTCCTCCTTGTGTCTCAAGTTTGCCAAAGTATGCGGCGAGCCACCAGACAAACTGCTAACAGTGGGAAAGCCGTCTATATGGAGGTAAGCGGTCAGCTGCTAGTGCAAAAAGGAATGGTGTTATACCACCGCCCTATAGTGTTCGTTTGAAAGATGGAATGCAGCCATCCGTATTCCTGTCTACATAATTTGCAATCTCCAGAATTGTATATAGAGATACGTTTTCAGAATGAGCCCATGATGTAAATATGACTATATAAGGTCGTTGCTGTCTATGGAGGATGAGGGAGCTCTCAGACTTCATCTAAAATACTGTATCTTAAATGGGGTGGTTGGAAGGACATGAAGGTGGGTAAATTTTGGGTGAACTATCCATTTAAGATCATTGCAACTGCGAGTTTAAAAACTTGAAACTGTGACTCTCACATTTTTTTAGGGAAAAGTTGGAATTGCATGGTGTTGACATGAAGATAAAATGTAACTACTTTAAATTTTGTTGAAAAAAAAAAAAAACTTAACCATAAATGTTTAACTCTAACCAAACTCTCAGTGGACTACAAGCATGATGTACATGCTTAAAATTTTTGCCACAAGATAAAAAAGTAGGTTAAAAAGTTTGGATAAATTAATTACAGCTAATTATGGGACCATTGCATTAATGTGGTAAGAAGTAAAATTAGTGAAATGAGAGGTTATTGAAAATAGTAAGCAGTGTCGAATTCATTAAATTGAAAAAGATGAATGATTTGATGAATGAAGTGTTCAAATTCTGTTTAAATTCTATGTGTGCTTATTTATTGGTGTATGCAAACCATTCAGCTCCAGCATGGTCTTCTTCACTTTAAGAACAACACTGTTCAGACAGATGATCTGATCGAAACTGATTGGCTGTTGCATGATAATAAAGACCGTACCCCTCCACTGTTCCAGGCCTGAGCCATTGAGGTCTGTCCTTCAGCTAGAGTCACATCTGTCAAAATCTTTCCATTCACTGCCATGATCTCATCACCTGACACAACCCCACCTGAGAACACATGAGAAGAACATGGAAAATTAACAGTGACAAGGAAGTCATTTGAAACTCATCTAAAACCACTCGAATCAATATAATCAATATCATAAATCAGTAGAGAGTGAAACAAAAACCAACCCCCAGTACTCTTTGGGCCCTGTTTACACATTTATATTGGTTTTGCGTTTGTCCTTATTCAAATACTTATCACTTTTGTAATTAGACTCCTGTGGCTAAATGCATTCGGACAGCCACAAAAGACAACCTACTACTCCTGTAGCTGTAAAATGGGACATGTTGTGAGAGCAAAGTTAACCAAAACAAAATAGCTTTTTTTTTTTTTTTTGCTGTTGCACTAAAACATGAAGATTATGATCAAAATTGCAGCAGCCATTTAGATGCTTTATGACAGCATTCCTGCTTAGTCAAATGCAGTTTCTGAAATGCTGAAATAAATGCTAATTTGTCTTAGTGGATTTAAATGCAAGATTTTTAAATTAAGACTTTCCCAGGTATTTTGTTCAGTTTTTTAAAGCAGCACAGTACAATTGTTAAAAAAACATAAACTTTAAAGGGGTGGTCCAAAGTGTATTTTTAAGGCTTGGTTGTGTTTATAAGATGCAAAGCAATGTGTGCTCATGCTTCACTTGTAGAAAATCCCGTTATTTTTTCATATATCCTGCTTGATTATATACAGCTACTCAGATAACGTGAAAACAACTGTCATATTTTCTAGTTCTTCCAAACAACTTCCCTCAAGAGGCTCTGATTGGTCAGCTAACATAATGTGCTGTGATTCGCGGATTGGCTCCACATTACGCCCCTACAAGTGCGCGCTTTTGCACTGTGTAAACAGTACAGTCAGAGCAGCTGTCAGCAGCATTAGCAGCTTGAATCAGACAGAAGAATGAAGAGCACACAGCTGAATCTCACGCCTGCTCTCTAAAATAAAATCTGACAAGTGTCTTTTACATATATTCGGGTTATAAGCATGTGTAAGCAATATGAACTGTTCTCATATCTTTTGCGAGTTTGTTATTTGAGATGTAGCATGCTCGGAAAGCGGCCACATAGAAAGACAATGCATCTGCTGTTAAAGATTGTGGGTATTTACAGCAATTTGACTAATAAATATGAATTTGTAGCTAAATTGTTAACGGTGCCAAACAGCATTTATCGTTGTTTACATCCTTGTTTACGTCCTCACTACAACATACCGTTAACGCTAGAAAATGTGCCTGTAGTTGATTAATTATAACAAATAAATATACTTACAGGTTGTGCCTCACAGTCCACAGCTTTGTTGGTTGGAGGAGTTGGGTGAGATTCTGGAAGTTCTCCTTTGTCAAATGCTAGCTATATCTTTTTTATATATGTATAATTCTCTGGAACATAATTAAAAAATACTCTAAGCACATCTCTCTTTGTGTCAAGTCCTTTGGAAGCCCAAACACAGAACCAGAAAATGCTTTGTGGAAATTTCAGCGTTTGGACGGCATTTTAACTTTTACTGCTTTAACATTACAGTGCCTCTGGCCACGCCTCTCCGCTGCGCAGGGTGTGTGCGTGAGTTGAGTGCACGTAACTGGAAGCCATTGTGATCTCACTAGACCGGATGTATTTTTTTGTAGTCTCCAAATTCGTTTGCTGTAGGCTTTGCTAAGCTAACTCTGTAAAAGCCAATGTCTCCATTTTCATTGAACTTTGAGCGTCTTACATTCAGAGATGTTGTTTATGTTCACACAGCTACATCACACATCAACTAAAGTTTAAAATATGATATCGTAGTGGACCCACTCTTTAAATTCAAGCACTTTTAAGGACAAATGTTTGTTCTTAAGTACTTTCTAGGCCTTAAATTAATGTGTGAAATTCCCCAAAAAATTCACCAAGTTCTGGATCATTTTGATGATGCTGTAGTTTTAAAAATTTAAACTCGGTCAAAATTCAGACCAATAAAAAGTTTGGTCAGAAACAAATGAGGTGAACCAGAAGGTTAATAAACTATTATGGCTCAGAACAATGCTTTGTGCATATTTCTTACATTTTGTTACAAGAAGCCATGTAATAAACAGTATAAAGTACATCCAAGCGGTGGTTATAGCAGAATTAATCCCTTTAGGCCTAAACAACAGCCTGTCAGTCTTTATTCTGCGATTACAACTGCCTGGATGTACTTTATCCCTTACAAAACTCACCATGTTTATCTGCTGCACCTCCTTCATAGATAGACGACACCACAATCTTTCCCAATGGGGAATCGATTCCTCCCTCAATGGCCAGATCAAGCTTTCCTTCCTAAAGATATAATAAAAAACACTATTAAAAATAATTCCACAGATGTTGCTCTCATTTCTGAGTTTTTCTTATTGTCTTAGACTGTAAAAATTCTGGGTTCCACACAATCAATTTGTGTAAGGACAACATAAAGGAATTAAGTTAGTTTATTAGTTTTTACAAATTTAAGTGGATTGAACATAAAATAGTTACATTGTTCCCCCCAAAATGTAAGAATTGTGTTGTTTCAGCTAATTTTCCTTAGGTAGTTTGAACAAACAGAAAAGGTCAATTTATGAGTGTACATTACCTTCTTAATTCTTAAAAGTCGCACATCTCTGCCTGCTATCTGTTCGGCTGTGAACTGTCAAAAAGTGCACAATATAATATTTTAATAAGTAATATTCAAGGAGTTTGGCCTTTGTAACCTTTTGCCATACAATAAGTGTATGAGAGAGAAGTGTTAATGCAAAGGCTTACTGTACCATGGAATGTGGATCAAAATCATCCACGTATTTCTGAAACCCCTAGAAAACAAAGAGGAGAAAACAAGAAAAGACAGTGGTGTGTATTGTCTATAAAATGTGAGGCGGCAATCTGTGGACTTAATTACAGCAGAAACAAATTAGTGCTCATTGATTTCCAAGAAAAGGCAAATAAACAACATGCATCTGGATAATTGTCACCTCTAATTCACTTAATGACAGATTCTACTTACTCTTAATAAACTATTCAGGGCAGAGCCACATCAGTGTTTAAATGAGATGCCTCATTAGTTTGCATTGATCTGTAAATCAATCTATAAAACACATCTTAAAAGGTGCAGTTAATTTTCTTTTTCTAATTTAAAATATTTAACAAATAAACGCACACAAAATATTGTACAGTGTCTAATTAGCTTGCTTTTTAAATTCCAAAACTAATCAATATAAAAATATATGATTGTATGCTATCTATCTATCTATCTATCTATCTATCTATCTATCTATCTATCTATCTATCTATCTATCTATCTATCTATCTATCTATCTATCTATCTATCTATCTATCTATCTATCTATCTATCTAAAAAGTCTGTTAATTAGGAAATTCCGTATTTTGGTATTCATATGTGTTTTCCGTTTTTTTATTTATGAATTTAACTACAAATTGCATTATGTGACCTTGATCTCTGCTCTGTAAACTTGTAAGCTTAAAGATATTAAAGCCATATTCTCATATGGAGAATGAAGTCACGTGAATTGTTCAGGTGTGATTTTTTTTTTCCACAGTGTAAAAATCATGGTTCTGTGGGTTTCGTCTATCAAATCTGATCTTTATTTTGTATTCTCTATTGGATTCAAGTCAGGTGATTGACTGGGCCATTCTGCAGCTTGGTTTTCTTTCTCTGAAAGCATATCAGTTTCCTTGGCTGCATTTTGAATCATTGTTGTGCTAAAGTGGCCACCCAGGTTTCATCTTCATCATCCTGTTAGATGTTGGACTGAAGCAGTGAATACTAATTTATAATGAGGAAGGACAGAAGTTAAAAACTACTGAGAGATTTTAGCTGCTGTCTGGGCTTTCACTACCCTTTTACACTCCCCTTTTTTCATGTGTTCAAAACTTTTTTCCAGTGTCATTTCATTATATTTATTTTATTTTATTTATTTATTTGACATGGACATCACAACTACACTGGACAACCAAATGCATTTGTTTAAGTGTTTTAGCAAACTTGCTGATTCTCAACACCTGTCCACTGGAGGCTTAAAAAATTGGCAAAATGGAAATATAATTAATACATATACACAACATTACAATTCTTAATGACAATTACTGAAGGCAAAAGCAAAGGCGACATGATCCAACAAACTAACAGTAGACTATTTGTGCAAACACTGCTGTTTTGTTTTTAACCACATTTTAAGAACAATACTAAAATTATTTTAGATTACCTTCTGATTTTAAGCTAACCGGTAAATCATTCCACAGTTTGGCTCCCTTTACAGAGAAGACAGATTGACCAAAGGAGGCTTACACTTTGGCACTAGACAGACACCATTAGCAGTTGTTTGTGTAAATTACACAGAGCAGTTGCTTGTTGTTTATTACAAATAACTTCATTTGTAAACTAATTAGATTTGTTTTCTTTTCATATTTGCATTGCTTTGGTTGTTACCAACATCAGGTGAACAATTCAAGTCAACAGCACCTTTAGAAATATGTTTTCAGAGTGAAATGGTGACATGTTGAATACTGAACAGAAATAGATAAAAAATAACAGAAAAATTACTCGCCGTTTATTTAAGGTTCACTCCAAAAACATTAAAAATGTCACTTTTTGCAAACTTTTCAACATCAAAAGTTGTTGTTAAGGAAAGATCAAGGTCTCATAATCCAACTAAAATTATTGAAAAAAAACATGAAATCACAAAATATGGAAAATATAGATTTGTTTCTGTGCTACAGTATGTGGTGTACAGTATATTTATAATGCAAGGTATATATTTTTGTTTTGTTGGATTCATTGGTAGCGTTTCTACAGACAACCATCTTCAATTATGTTTAGATACAATATAAATTCTTTCAAAACTACTACACACTCTGAAACAAAGACCTTCAATAAATAATCAAGTCTAAAACGACGAACCAACAACATATACATTCAGTTTGATTCTGCTACATGCAATGCATGACACCCAAGCAAAAACTGCTTTCATAACAAACAATACAGATGTATGATTAAATGGAAATATATCAGTCCTTGAAGAAGAATTCTGATATATTTAAGTTTGTATTATGAGACCAGTTCTTCTGTTTTCCATGATCTCAGCTGAAAATAGTGCAGTTATACAATCATACATCTGACACATTTAACACTTTTTCACACATAATTTAAACCAAAGAAGACCCCACCACACCTTCTACCTATCCGATACTATACAACTACATCACTCAAAACATTTTAGATTTCTTTGAGGTCATGCTGCTGTGCCTTTAAACTCCATTTGAGTTCAACATTTTGCTAGAACGCATTATTATTCTTTGGGTAAAAAAATTAACCCATGCAAGTTAATCAAACCAGGCTCATTACTGATATGCATCCCTGTATACAATTCTGGAGGTTGAGAAATACGTCCCAGGAGGTACATTTTTTGCAGTTTTTGTTTTCGCGAATCCACCAGAGGCCACTGTGGATGCTTTTTCAGATCTCAAACTTTTCTCTCGAGTGCCATTCGCGCCTGCTCTTCTCATATAAATCCCCCAGAGGTCACTGTTGACTGACTGACTGACTGACCGACCAAGCAATACCCCCACACACCCCTTCCCCAAACCCAACCGAAAGTGTTTTCAAAAGCACCAATTGACTCGATCACACTATTTCCAAAACCCAACTGACAGTGTTTTCAAAAGAATTTCAGAAAATGTAAAGCCCTGGTGGCTGCTTGATTTTGACCACATTTTCAGATATTACCACATTCTTACCCTGTTATTTACATGTTTGTTTTATTTTTTTCCTTTTGTTTTTGTCTTACCTGCTTTCTGGAACTGTTCCTTGCCCGTCATTCTGGTCAACTCCACTCAGCATCCCAAGTCCCTCGTCGTACGTGATCAACTGGGCAAACAGCGAAAAAGAAGTCCACAGGGAGGTAAGCAGTCAGCTAGTAGCACTAATAGAAACAGAAGCCATCTGCGGCGTCATACCGCCACGTAGCTTTCATTTTAAAGAGGAAAGGCAGCCATTTTGTCTTCAAAACAAACGATACAGGGCGGTATGATGCCGTTCCTTTTCGTGCTTACCAGCTGACCGCTTACCTCCGTATAGACTGCTTTCCTGATGTTACCAGTTTGTCCAGTAGTTTGCCATGTATGTTGGCGGGCTTGAGATGCAGAAAAGAGTTAACCACGACGACAAAAAAAAAAAAATAAATAAACAAATAAATAACAGGGTAAGAATGTGTTAAAATCTGAAAACGTGGTAAAAATCAGGCGAGGACTTTTCTTTTTCTGGATTGCTTTCTAAAACTGCCAGTTGGGTTTAGGGAAGTGGGAGAGTGGGTCAGACAGTCAGTCAGTCAGTCGATCAGTCAGTAAGTCAGAGGTATGTTTTCACAATGAGCCTATGCTCAAAGTTAGTCCACTTAAAAAAAAAAAAAAAAAGGGTCATTTTGGTAATCTTCAATCAAAGTTTGACTATTTACATCTATGTTTGGAGAGGCAGTTCTTCGTTCTTTGAGAGGATTCTTAATCATGTCCCTCTTACCGTTCGTTTGCTATAAGAGAATGATGCGCACAAAGAAAGCCCTGCCCCCTAATCAGTATTCTGTTTGAGTTGGAAGTACATCAACATACTGAAACGTAAGTCTCAGCGACTTCTAATTCACACTTATATTTAAATGCCTACTTTGCTTATAAATAAACAATAGCACTGCAAACGCACACAGGTTTTGAGTTTTTACATTCCTTACCCTTTTAAAATAACAAACCAGTTTAAAATCAGTACATAGAGATTTCTATCAACACAGACAGATGTCTATGGAATATTGTTAGAAATGTAGTATGCAATTCACATGCAGATGCAAACTCTCAGACAGCAGAAGTTTCACTCGAGGACCAGAGTGTTTAGAGAGAGGAGGGGGAGTAATGAAAAGCAATGATGACAGTTACTTGTTTCTTGCTGGATTTAAAGGACGTGTTGTATGTGACCATCCGCTTTAGCATCTCCGGGGGCTGAAACATACACAATTGTGAATGACTCTTAAAAACTCCACACAATGACACACGCACACAGTCGTACAGCTATCTTTACGAGGACTTTCCATAGACATAATGCTTTTTATAGACTGTATATTCTATCCTCACAAACTTACACCTAAACCAAAGCACTCACAAGAAAAGAAACAATCTGCATTTTTACATCTTACACAAACCACTTCCTTCTGTGGGATTTATTAGCCTTTTTGCCTTCTTGGGACCACAAACATGTACCCCCAAAGTCAAAATGTACTATTATTGGTATACAAGGAAACACACACACACACACACACACACACACACACACATTCAGTTGTTGCATCTCATTGCATGCCATTTAAGGTTTATCTCCCCATAGCAAATAGGCCTATTAGCTATTATCTATAAATTCAGCCATCTGTGAGCTTTACAAATACACTGACTGCTTAACAGCACTGATGTCCCATTATATATGGCATCCTAAGAGCAGCGAGGCTTTAGTGTACTGAAGCATTTCAGAGAAAGAACACCTGGTTCTTTAGATAAGAGTGAACAAACAAGACAGATCTTTTGGCTTCAGCAATTGGTAAAAGAATATTACAAAAATATACATATTTACAATTGTTGTCAGATTTATTAGCCCCCTGAATTATTAGTCCCCTGTTTATCTTTTTCGCCAATTTCTGTTTAACGGAGAGAAGATTATTTCAACACATTTCTAAACATGATAGTTTTAATAACTCATTTCTAATAACTGATTTATTTTATCTTTGCCATGATGACAGTAAATAATATTTGACCAGATGTTTTT